TTTAATTTACCTAATCATTCTAAGCAACATATGGCAATCTGCGGTCTTTCCTTACACTTAGGTAGCACGGAAAGCCGTAAAAATCTTGAACAAAAGCTCATCTTTCAAACCGGCAGTCTAAATCCCACAGGGATCAACGAACGCTTTTCATTCCACTAATTTATTCTTGTTTTTTTCGTTGCCATGTTCCCACCAATAACGTAGCTCCATTCTCTGCCTTTAAAGCACACACAACCCACAATTCCTCTATTCGCTCCGACGAAGGGCTAACGCTCGAAACGTCAGCTTTTGTAATCGTTACGGTTGCCAATTTACCACTTCAACTTTGTTGATATAACCAAATTCCTTAAGATTATACCTTCAAGAAAGATTTCGTTTTTTTTTCCTTGTGTTTTGTTTTGTTTTTCTCTTTTGGAATTCGACGTGCTAATTTTTGTTAGTGGTTTCCTGAGGTAAAGGTTACTCTGTGGCCCTTACTAAAACTGCGCTATTTTAACCCTCGAGGTATCAAGATCTAATTGTTAATTTTCCTCTCTAGCTGCTACACATTTCATGGTAAATCAGTTACGAGAAATTGGTGATAGATCAAGATTGCAATTACCATTTGATAAACTTGGGTATTCTCATTAGTTGTTTGCTGGATAATGTATAGAAATAAATAGGGAGAATTTACATGTCAATCACTTTTTTTTTCTGCCTGTTTCTGGGAGTTAAAGGGTTGTTGTAGACCACGTCTGCTTTAATTTTTTTATACTTTTTTTTAACAGCGTTTGTTATATTATCGTCTTCGTTTAGGTGTGATAGTTTGATTGCACAGTGTATGAGTATCCGTTGCCCTTTTGTCCGGCCCTTAGTCTGGTTTACTGATCTGTTGCATCAATTTCCAACATTTTTTCTTTTTGCGTTTAACAGGACAACATTCGTGTGGCGGCGGGTGGCTGTATCGGATCGTTAGCTATCATTGTGCCAGACACTGAACTCGAGTATATCGTCAATGATCATCTCACAGGTAGGACGGCAATAATAGTGGCTTGGGTTAACTTCAAAATAATTATAGGATGGATAGTACTGAATCTCGTGGAGGGTTCCCATGGACCCCACTGATGTGCACAGGCGGAGTATTGCATCTACCCTCCTCCAATCCATCTTAAAATGACAAATTGTATTCGGGAAGGTTACTGAACGTAACAGTTCTAAGAAATTACCACACCAATACAATACCCGCCTCCCATAGAAGATGTGATAAACCTCTATCATGATGTAGCCATCGGGCTTTTTTAGTTGTTTCTTTTTAATTTCGTTTGCAGTGAATGACCCCACTGTTGATTGGACAGTGCGCCACGGTCACGCCATCGCTCTGTCAGCGGTATTTCACGATGCTGCTGAGAGGATGGTTTCCTTGGGCCTGTTTGAAGTCGTTACCGACATGGCTGTGGCACATCGATTGGTATTAGCCAATATCTGTGCCACTGTGTTTGTGTGTTAAATTCATAGAGCAAAGAGCCATTTCTGTTGGTTTTTGTCATTTGGTACATTTCAACCTAGCGTCGCACAATTTTGCATTTTATATCCTCGAGGTTGAAGTGACATTGAAAAATCTTTCTATTTGTTCGCATGTCCATTTTCCTATCTGACTCTCTTTCCATTGGTTCAGATTCCCATCTGTAGCTCTGGTGTGAGATGTCTTGGCTTCACTCTCGCTCACTCGGTCGTGCAGTGTATTCCGGCATCAACAGAAGTGCTTCAAACCTTACTCAAGGTAAAATCAAATAATACTGTAGAATTACGTCAGTAACTGCAGAAAATTTCTGTTGAAAAGAGCCATAGGGTAGGCATAATTTCCTCTGACGATTTTTCCTCACTCTTATCCTTTGCGCATTAAAACACCTACATATTTTTCTGTCTGAATAGGATCTCAAGGCCGCCATCTAAATTGTCTTTCTTTTCGCGGCAGTAGCTGTTCCTTTCAGGATGGAGGGGAGGGTTCTTCGAGTATTGCCTGAAGGGGAAAAAATATCTTTACTTTTAGATGCTTTATCTGGCAGACTACATATACTTGCACGCACTTGCGATACACATGATTTCTTTCTTCTCTAAGTAAACAATATGTCCATTGAGCAAAATCTTATGTCTGTTTCTTCAATTCTAGGTACTTCAAGACGGCGCAAATGACGTTAAAACGATCGCGGCAGCGTCTCTGCAACATGTTGCGCGTGTAAGCCCAGCGTCTTTGGATAACGCTCTTCTAAAAGTCATAGTCCCAGCATTAATGGCGTCTTCCAAGGAAAAGAACACCACTGTGAAATCTTCTGCGGAATCTGCACTTCTGTATGTACTGCGGCTACGAGATGGCGAGTCCACACTTCAGGTATGAGCCCTTACTATGTCTCTATTGTCTCTGGAGTCGCGGAAGACGAAGTTACGAGGAAGGGGGGAGTCTTTCCTCCTTCAAGTATGTCCCCACAGTAAACATTTCGTGCCAGCCCAGAGCGTTTGCAGGAAGAGTGCTAATGTGCATCGAGAAATAGAACCAGACTATATTATTTTTTTCTTTGTCATTATGATTATCATTATTTTTTTTAATTTCAGTCCTGCTGTCGTATTTTCGACGCCACTACTGCGGAGGGTATACAGGATCTTTGCCGAAGATCACTACGTCGCTTAGCAACTCAAGACGAAGATCCGGATGAATTAGAAACTTTTTTTTCATCTGTCGATCAAGGATGAAAGCGGCTAAGAAAGCGACTGAACCCCACCCAGGTTCTTTTCTGTTGATATGAAACGGGAGAGCCTGAGGCAAGTGAATCACGGATCCTTGAAGAATTCCATCAGAGTTGCGAAATGTAACTGCGCTAATTGAGATGCAAATAAAATTATTTCTGTTATTATATTCTGTTTTCTTTTTCCTGTAGCCGCGCAAAAGAACTATCAAATCTCAACTGTGTAGGACGTAAAAAAAGAAATATTTCTTCGGAGCAAATATTTCGAAATACATTAAAAACTTTTTGTAAGTCTTTATCAAGAACATAGTTAGCCTCTCACTTTCGTTTGTGTCTTTTTATGTGTTGCCTTTACTAAGGTCTCCTCGATATTTACTAAAACAATGCCAATTTTTATAGAGCAAGCGCGTTTGAAGGAGCCTGATTGGCTGTCTATAGTGTGCTAGTTACAAAGTCACAGCTCTTTTGTAGGCCGAGAAAATCCCCTCTGATTAATAAAACAATAAAAGTTTGTTAATGAGCCGAAAAGTCCCCTTAAATTAGGGCTAGCGCTACATCCCCCAAAAATCATTAACCAATTTCTTCAGTTTAGATATCCATTCGTTTATATCTCAGTTAGAAAAAGGACTTCCCGGGCAATTGATGGCGTGGCAGTACGGGTGTGATTAACTCTTCATTGTGTACAAATCTTAAAATTATAGCTCTTTAGTTGGCCGTGAAAATCCCTTCTGAATATTGAAACAATACATATATCTTATTAACCAAGCGCGAGGGCCGTACTGGGAGAATATCGGCCCGAGGTCTTGACAGTACGGACCGAGCGCAGCGAGGTCCGTACAAAAAAGACCGAGGGCCGATATTCTTCCAGTACGGTCCCGAGCAAGCTTGGTTAATAAGAGATTTATTACACGACTGAAGTTCAAAGGGACACAAGTGCGGTATCATTCGGGACCATTCGGGACAGTGCCCGGTCCAATACTGAGAGAATATTGCCCGGCTAAAGAGCATTTTGATTGGTTGATTTTAGTTATTGGCCCTCAGACTTCCCGAGTCGTGTAATAAAGTTTCATTAATGAGCAAAACGGCCCTCTTGAAGGAAAGGTTGGTCGTGGCTCCAAAAAAAACTCATTAATGAATATGTATTGTTTAAATATTCATGCACTTGTATCTCAGTTAGACAGAGGATTTCCGAAACAATTTAAAGTAAGTTAAAAGGAGCTTGATTAGCTGTCTAAAGTGCGCAAGTTTCAAAGTGCCAGCTCTTTCGTAGGCAGAGAAAATCTCTTCTGAATATTGAAACAATACAATTTTGTTAATGAGCAAAACAGCCCTCTAGAACGAGGGTTTGCTTGGGGTCTCCAAAAGCTCATTTACGTAGTTCTTTTGTTCTTGTATTCATGGGCTTATTTCTCAGGAAAAACGAGGATTTCCAGAACAATAAATAGCGTGTTAGAAAGAGTCCAATAGGCTGACTATCGTGAGTATTTTTCAAAGTTACATTAGGCCGTAAAAATATCCTCTGAATATTGAAACAATAGAATATTGTTTTTGCACAAATGGCCGTCTTGAACGAGAGTTTAGGTCGAGGACCCTGAAAGTTCATAAACCAATTTCTCTTGTTTAAATATCAATCCTTTCATCTCATCCTACATGGGGATTTCCTGGATAATTTAAAAAGCATGAATATAAGTCTATATAAGTCTCAAGTTTCAAAGTCACAGCTTTTTTGTAGTCATATTCAAACAATACAAAGGTGTTCATAAGCAAAATAGTCCTTGCCCTAGGGCTAGGTCGAGATCCTAAAAATTCTTGACAAATTTAATTGTTCAAATTTTCATGTGTCTATATCTAAGTTAAAAGAGGATTTCCTGGACAATTTAAAGCACGTTATAAAGAGCATGATTGTCTGTCTATTACATGCAAGTTTCAAATTCAGAACTTTTACTTGGGTCGAGAAAATCTCTCTGAATATCAAAACAATCCAATTTTGTTAATAATAAAATGGCTCTCTTGAATTGGGTTACAAGGACTTCCTAGACAATTATTAGTGAATTAGAAATAACATAATTAGCTGTATAATATGAGTAAATTTCTGAGTCAGAGCTGTTTTGTGGGCCAAGAAAAGGATTTCTTAAAATGAATAGAGGTTCTAATACTTACCCACACCCCCTTTAAGACAAATTTTTTTTCACACCAAACTGGTGGTAAGATTTTGAATTTTTTGAGAAAACAATTCAAATAAGTTTTTCACCTTAAACTTGCACTGGACTGGACATCCTCTCATACAAAGTGGGTTTTTCCCCAATTTACTTTCATTCATCACAAACCTACAACAATGATCAGAATCGGTTTGTTTTAAAAGATCAGCATGATTTAAAGACCTCAAATAAACTGTTTTTGAGTTCTAACTGTATCTCTTAGTTTAGTATTAATATCAGTCTATAAGGTCTTGCTATGGACTTTCACCTCATGAGATATTTCACTTTATATCATAAAATGAACTATACACACGTTTTAATTGGTTCTTACTTATGATCTACTGAGGGACAGATGTATAGATGACATCACCATTAACAACTTTTTTCTTTGTTATCATATAAAACGAATTAACTCCAAGCTGCCCTGAGTCTGTAAAGAAATAGATCACAGGAGACATCAAATGTAATAATGGTATCCGTAACACACCCGGCTGCAACTCAAGTGCCACTTTTTTGTTATTGCCACATTTTATGTCATCTGTAGTCTATTACTGAACATAAGTACAGCAGCATGGAATCTATTTTTTAACTTAATCTGTGGAATCCACCTACATTTGTGTTAATTTGTGACTACACCAAATCTCACATGGTATGTACAACTGACACTTGAAAGAGCTATCACAGTAATTCTGTTATCTTTCTATGTTCATTTGTAACCATTTAGTCCCTACTTTTCAACCTTTGTCACTATATTACTTGTTGCTTGTGCAACACTAATCTCACGCTATACAATTCACTTGAAAAATCTATCACACAGTTATACATTACACCAGAGTAACGACATTCCTATCTTTCTAGTTTATCCACAACCTTTCAAAGCAGACATATATAAGGACCTCAAATATAACACTGCTATGGTTATTCAAAATAATATTTAATCTAGTGCAGCCCAGAAACTTAAGTTTTGATTAGTTATTTTTTTGCTTCAAAAATGCATTAAACAAAACTGCCAATAACCATTTACCCATCTATCTGTGCTGGATTGATTTGTAGATTATGCTACATATAGTAGTTCAGGTTATGTGTTTGCTACATTAGCTCTTCTCTTTTTTCTATTGACACTGACATTCAGCTTAGGGGACCTGAACTAGCTCTCTTATCACTAAATACAAGAGTACATAATGATCATGCAATTAAAAGCCAAAACATAAACAAGAATGCAACCCAAAGAAACAGCTTGGATAGAAACTGCTCATCTTCTGCTTGAGGTGATCCTGGTGGTGCTGTTAACATAAGATATTAATCAATTAAGTAAGTAATCAATCATCATAAATCTCTGTAAAAACCATTTTTGTGGTGTTTCATTTGCCAAATTTTCTTTAGAATGAACTTCTTTTTGCTGAGTCTAAGGTTGGTTATAACAAACCACATGGTGTAGCACAGGATTTGATACTTTTAAAATAGGCTTGTACCTGAATTAAGATGATGCATTTAACAATTACATGACAACCCACCTGCAGTCTGTCCTTGACCACCAAATGTCTGTAATGAATAATTCAATAATTCAATCAATGATACAAGTAATTTTGTCAAATTTGTGCCTGCTGTTAAATCAGTATCAATACAATAAGATAAAAAAACATTACTGCTTCAAATAAATGAGATGAGGCTTACCGTTGAGAAGAAAGCAAATGGGAATGCCCCGATACCAAATGAAAGTTGAAATCCATCACCAAATCCTCCCAAACCAGGGAAACCCTGAGAAATCACATTCAACACTCATTAGACACTTATGTCCCTTTTACAGATGGTCCAGAACCATTTGATTTTGGATATTTGGATCCATTTTGTGATTCCAATTGTTTTCAGGTATTTGTGTCTGATTTTGTAGACAGGTGTTTGTTTTTTGAACAGCAGACAGTACCCCTTGTTACAAATAGTTGCATCCCTTTTTGGACAAAAGCATTCCAAAAGAAAAAGGTTAACAACAACCATACTTGAATAGATCAAAACTGCTGTCTCTGTTTAAAAAATATTTTACATTAAAGTAAAATTTTCAGGATACTATATGTGCTCTTCTTAATCAGTGGGAGTGATTCAAGTACACAAGTATAATCATGTTTATTGTGTTTTGTATTCATGCATATTTTTTAGTTTTTTTTTTTGGACAGAAAATCAAGGGCTTTCTTTGAGTTTGGACAAACGCTTTCCATTTTTAGATAATACCATCCTATTTCAGACACTTGTCTCTCACAATCATGCTTAATTGGATTTAAAAACGGTCTCTGCTTTTGGACTCCACTATCCAATTATGGACACTGGCATCTGCTTGCAGATTGTACCCTCCAGTTGTGGACTGTTATGAATGGTATCCTGCCCTTTTGGGGTTTTCATCGAAACAAACAGAGGGCTGTCAACTGGGAAAAAAAACTTTACAGCTTGAACACAATCAACATGTACTTACCCCATTATTTTCTGGTTCTGGTCTTCTTCCTTGAGGTCTTGGTGGCATTTTCTCTCTTTAAAAGGTCAAACATGGGGATATTATTAAATTACTTTAATAGGTATAAACTAACCACATGTTGAATTAAGAGTTACAAACTAAGAATCTGATGATAACCCTTTGTAGGCCAGCCAAGTGAGCACGTTATTCACAGCTTAAGTCAAATAGCTCAGCTTTAGTGTACAGACTAATGAAAAGGAGGTAGTGAGAAGTTCACTAATTAATTATCGTAAATGTCATCAGTAAATCTTTCTATGATACCAAATTCTCCAAATTAACTTAAAAGAAAAGTATGGCAGACAGTTAGGAGAATTACTACTGTGATCTTGGAAGTAAAAGGTTTGATCTCTGTAATTTACCTGGGGTCCTCCTGATTGGTGCTTCCTCGACCATACAGTGGAATGACTTTATCTTTGCTGATACCTGCCTTGCAAACTGGGCACACTGATTTGTTAGGCCGGGTTTCTAGCCACTGAAAAAAAGAAAGGTAGTAATTAATCTCAGCAGCAAATCAAAAACTATTTGTCAAAGAGAGCTCAGGAAAGATGGTGAGCGTTGAACTTGGTCATTACTTAAAGAAAGATGATATTTGTTTCTACCTTCACTCTTAGAGTCAATACAGGTGCTCAGACTGCAGCTGATCAGTATATCAATGGGAAACATGCTGTGAACGTTCCTTTAAAAATTATTTTCACAAGACTTAGGCTCACAAAAACGAATGAAGAAATTCTGATCTACCCTTAAATCCAAAGAGTAACTGTTGACTGCCTCTATAGATAAGTTCAGTGTTGAGAGTGCACACGTTCCGTTAAGGAATTATCTATGATTTAATTTTGCAGGACAAACAAATATACACGTTCATAAATCAAGTCATAACGTTTTCTACACATAATGATATGCAATGTGGCTTATCTTGTTTAAGTGTGGAGCGAAAGTAAAATTCTATCAGCACACTGTTTTGACATGAAAATTTGACATGAAAATTTGACATGAAAATTTGATCGACATGCTTACGGGAAGTATAATTAAGTACTTTACTTCTAAAAATAACTTATTTCACACTCACCTTGTGAAGACATGGCCAGCTGAGAGGGAGGAAAAATATATTTCTCAGTTTTTTACAGTGTAACAGTTAGCGGAACAAAAATGGAAGAGGAAAAACAGCTGAATATAGAAAACCCAATACGTGTGACTCATCAGCAAATACACCTAAACTAAACGCCTTCTTACCAAAATAAATGCCCACAGAAACTGATAACCGCATCTTTAGCGGTGTCGAGACAAATATTACATTCAAAATTTGCGTTTGCACTTGACTGTTCGCTGTTAGAGGCCCCAGCAGCAGAAGCCCTATCATTAACATCCTCATTCGAAGTCGCCATCTTGTTTTCTGTTGCATTGTTTTCACGGGAGTCTCACGCTGATACGTCACGGTACACTGGGGAAGAGCGCGGCGGATTATGTCCGCGGAGGCATGAAGCCTGAGTCAGACTTCATGTCGACCGCCATCATGGTAAGTAGAGAGAAATATTTCTCTTTGATTTGTTCGCTAAATAGACAGCGATTCCACAGTTCTAGAGCCATTAGAAGTAAAATTACATTATAGATTTCTGATGATATCGATATGATTTATCATGTTTGTGCTTTGTAGGAGATTTTTGTGATGGTGCGTCGTGAAAAGACAACAATCTTCCTTGACTGTAAGGAAGCCACAACCGTCTACGAGCTAAAGAAAATGGTCGAAGGTATCACAAAGAAGGCTCCAGAAGATCAGAGGCTGTACAAAGATGATCAAATACTTGATGATGCCAAAACTTTGGAGGATTGTGGTATTACAACCCAAACAGCGAAAGCCCAATCTCCGGCATTGATTAGTTTGTCATTCAAAGGAGAAGGTGCGTTGGTTTACAATGTACAAAATTTAATTGTCCCGAAACTTATGGTGATATTAATGATTGATGAATGTGAACTGTTTTCTGCCGTTTTTATTTGTTGCTGTTTTTTTTCTTAATTCCGGGATCTGTTCCTTGATGGATTTGCATAGACATCGTGCTTGTCATGTTTGTTGAAGTGATTATTAGTATATAGATATCGAGTGATCATCGACCTTAACCTACTGTCAACTTTTAACTTAAATATATACACTGAGCCCGTAAACACCATAAATACGGTAGTTGATTTCAGGAGGGAAATAAAGCATTGTGTGATTTTTTTTAAAGGAAAAGGAAAATTACGAAAGACCATACTGTGTGTTCGAAAGGAAGTAGAAATATGCACTCTTATCTGCATTTCAGTGACTTTTTCTTTGGTGATTCTAATGATCAGAGAAGATCATAGAGTTTACGACAGGAACAAGGAAATTTCTGCAATATTAGTTGTCATTTGAATATAGATCAATTGTCTTTGTCTGGAAAATATAAGTGGAATTTTGCTTCTAGGCAAAATGATAGGTTGAATTTTAGCACAATGATTTTTAAAATCTTTTATTGACCCTATAAGCATGTAATATTTATACCTTTCTAAAGCATTTTGTGGTGAAAATCCAAAAAAAAATTCTATAGTTGATAATATGTAGAATTCTCATCACTTGTCAGCTTAGCATTGTGTTGAAGTTTGCAAATTACATATAAAAGGAATCACATTTTGGTCTTTGGATGATGAAAAGTTGCTTAACCCTTGGGGTAAACTTTGTTTAAAGAAGTTTCAGAAAACAAAGCATGAAAGAATTGGGATTAAACCTGTCCTTTCCCTCACCTCTAAAGATACTAGTTGTATGCTACAACCAAACAAGCTTCAGTACCATCTGTTGGGTTACTTTATTCCAGCAGAACAAAGGTTATTACAAAAAGAATACGTGAAATAGTGAATGATTTATTTATTTTGTCTTGAGAGAGGGGCAAGGAAAATCTAACCCCAGACCTTTAGATTTCATGTTCTTATGCTCTAACACAGAGCTACAGTGATCTCTGCATTGAGTTATGCCATTACTATTTCCATACGTAACATGCGTCCTGCATGCTGTTGGGATCAGCAATATCTGAAGCATCATTTGAGTAAAATAAGTTGAAATAGACAAAACATTGTTAAATACCGTGCTATCTCTGTGTTTCAGATGGAGAATTTGAACCTGTTGTCATTGCTCCTCTTTCCACCCCACCTGAATTGCCAGATGTGATGAAACCCCAGGAGACAGTTTCCAACAGTGATGGCTCGTAAATTTTATGTCCTGATGTACGGTTCTCTTTTTTGTAGATCAATGCATACTGTATCTCACAAACTAGTTGCAGGTTAAGCCCCTTTGTTGATTAACTTAAGTAACAACAAACTGGCCAAAGCTTTGTGTGATGAAAGAATCATTATATATTTAACTTTCTAGTTCATAACTTCCCATTCATAGGTTTGACATACTGTCAATTAAATGACTGGTGGAGAAATTTTCTTGGACATTTAGGGGAAAAAAACTTGGTTTAGTCAGTATTGGCAGTGCCAGCTAACATCAGATCTCCATTTTTATTAAAAAAAGAATGCAATGCACTAAAGCTCAAATATTTTGGTAATGTAAAGACAACCCTGTGCAATTTTGGCTATAACATGTTAAAGAGCAATCTTTCAATGTTTTGATGAATGTGTAGTTTGCTCTTGATTTTCCTACTGAACTATAAAGTAAGGGCTACTTTCCTACTGATCACAAACTGAAATGTCAGGTAATATCTTTAATTTGTAATTCATAGTTGATTTGAAATTCATGGTAGTTTTGTTCTAGCTGCCTAGGAAGTGTTTTGTTTGGTGATTTTGTTAATAAGGATACATAAGTTCTCAATGTATGAAACTGACAAGCATATCTTCCCGATATCTCCCCTATCTAAGACTGCATTTTCAAGTTAAGAATAAGTCAGAGTTTATTTTAATTTCGTGTTCTATTGGTTTAATTGGTTTGTTTCTTTTTGTTTGTAAATAAACTCGTTTCTTTTGAAGGAATGTCTTTTTATGTAACAATCTGTTACTCATGTTTGCTACCATACCATAAAAGTCGCAGGCAGACTGGGTTTAAATGGGTCATGGAAAACCTGGAATTCATCGAGTTCAACACTATCATTTTTCAAGGGTGGAATGCCATGGAAAATGACTGAAAGTGATATTTCTGAGAGCATAGCAAGAAATACCTTGACTGATCTTCTCTCTGTTTTGATACCACCACTTTACCTTTAGATCCCTGAGAGAGATAAGCATCTAGTTTCTCCTGATGAATCCAACATTTAAGGTTACGAGAATAAAGGAAATATTCTAACCAAACGCTTTGATTGCTACACAAATTCTCCTTCCCAGTACAAAGGATATGTATGGAGAAGAGTACAAAGGATAAAGATGCTGCTAGGGCATAAAGGTCATTGAAAGGCAGACAGTTTTATTAGTCTGCATGAGTATAGGCCCTGAAAGAAGGACCTCCACTACACACCATGTCTACTCTTGCAAGTGGTTAGCTCCCACAATAACATAGGTCAGGAGCCCATTACCAAGAGCTTCCATCTCAGTTGTACCCTTGAGTCAACCCTGTCCCGTATCATGCATTTTATTTTTAGAACTGAGATATTTGCGGGGGTTCTTTAATCTTTCTGCACTTTCCGCCACTATTGAAATAATTTCGTGCAGCCTGCAAGTGACGCAATAGAGATGTAACACAATAGAGACGACAGCTCTCTTATGATTGGCTATTATAAAAACACCTGCAAAAACCGCCGTGGGAGGTGCTTCTGAAAATAGAAAGATGTGGGACAGGGTTGGCTCAGAGGGTCAGTATGGAAGATGGAAGCTCCAGGTAATGGGTTCCTGCATAGGTGTGTTTGAAGGCTTTTAATTATTGTAGATTTTTCAAGTTGTCTCCCATTTGCAAAAATGTTTCCAAGGAAAACATCTCTCCAAGTTTGGGAAGGGATTGGACTTAATAATACCAGGGCAATTGGCACCAGAGAAATTTGCGTTTAATAAAAGATTTCGTATATGCAAGTGATATAATTTACAGTAAATTACAACATACACAAATCTAAAACTTTTCTTAATGACAAAACTCAGCCAGCCTGGCTACAGTGGAGACAATTAAGAAAAATTCAATGTGTTGAACAAATGGTTTAGGAATGAACTTTGATTGCTATCAATGAATAAACATGCTGTGCAACTCTTACATAATATCTAAATCACTATTCATGGTCAAGAAGCTAGGAAAACAGCCCTTGAACTGAAAACAAGAGAAATTGAAATCAAAATTAGCTGATTTATCATATGACCCCTGCTGCCCCAAGCACACTTTAATTGAATAATCCTTGACAAAAAATCTCCTAAGAGGGGCAAACGCAATGGCATGAACAAAGGCAGGAAAAGGTGTACAGCCCCATGAAATGCCAGAAGACAAAGAGCATTATAGTGATAATTGACTGAGTAGGGTTTGGGCAGACAGGAAAATATTTTTTGCTATTGAAGTACAGACCTTCCTGCACTTGGTACTGTATACATAATTACAATGACCTTGAACTAATAATTTTTTTTTTCATTTCCAGCCTTCCCACTCAGTCTATAAAGTTCATGTTAGTGAAAGCCTTGAAAATTTTCACTTATGCGACCACTTTTAGTTTTAGGACCAAGCTTGTCACAACATGCCTTTAACAAATCTACATATTTAACTTGCTTGGACTTTTTCTGCATCACAACACTTTTGGATCATATTTCACACTCCTCCTTGGAAATGGTAATTTCAGAAGTTGCACATTATTTTTCATGAAGTAAACAAAGAAGAAAAGTTAGGAAGTGTTTCCCAGAAAACCTAAATTTACAAGCTTTGAACTTCGTTTAAATATTGATCAGAAGTTAACAGCAAAATGCTGAATTCCCTTCTAACCAGTTGTGGTTAAAGATAGTAGGTAACACCTACTCAAGTTTCAAAATCACAATAAATTAACGCCCTATCCTAAGTTAAACTGTTAAGTATCATAGCCTAACGGTAAACTAAAGATAACTTATGAGAACAGAGATTTTATCACATGGAAAACTACACGAAGCTATGTTTCTATACAGTTGAATGACGTCAGTATTTTCAAAGCTCTACTTTGATTCCTTTCTGATCTGTTCAACAGGTATTGTGTGTTTAAACCTTACACTCTCGGAGTGATCACACTTGAACTTCTCCTCACATTATCAAGACAACTTCAGGCAGAACAGTAATGAGAATTGAGAAAAATCATCAACACAGGGATCTTATCTGATCTAACAAAGTTCATAAACAATGTATGGAAAACAGTGTGGAAAACTGGTATACAGATCTTATGAGCAAAAGGGTTTAAGTCTGTGCTTATTTCTCCATAAGAAATACAATGACTGCTGTCACATAATTCACTCCACTTACAATTCTATGTCAACTCCGAAAGTATGAGAAAACGAAAATTGAGTAATTATTTCAATAAATTAATCCTCTAACTGTGTGACTAATAGGCAAGACTGATATAAAATTATTATAATTCCTGCTAATCGTTATATACAGTGTAGTTTATAGTTGATCGGCTGTGGTGGCAGCACACAGCTTCAGAGAAAATAGTCTGGTTGGGGCTTTTTGGCAATGGTTGGCATACCTCTCACCTCCTGTAGAGTAAAAAAAGGATAATCAAAATAAAACAATGTTTCTGCCCTAAAATGCAGATATGCATGAGATTTCCTAACCCAAAGAGATGGAGAATTTCAATCAAATAAGCATATGAAATTTTTATTTAAATGTTAGTTGCTGCACTAGATTTCACAACTTTTCTATACTATCACTGCACCTAGCTGTTTGTTTTGTTACTGATACATTTCACACCATAATAAAATCTATGATGGATTTCTTTCCCCATGTGAAATACAGACCTGTTTACTTTTAAAATAAAATTATATGTCTCCCCAAGATAACCTTTGTCATTGATATTTAATACTTACCTGAGGGGCTGCTTCAAATATTGTGAATTCTCTTTTTAAATGCTCATCCAGTTCTAATATTGCTGCAACATTCCCACACCTTCAAGAAAATGATAATTTCAATTTTTCCCCTGAATACACAACTACAGTTTCATTCAAGAAAACAAGTGTCAGTAGTTGTTAAGTATGTTCATGTTAACCTGTCATGTTGGTGTGACAACTATCTGATTTTTTACTCCCAATGACAATTGATTAAGCTGTTACAGTGGCTGTTTGAAAATCTTCCACTTTTAAAGACACTTTAAAAGTGTACATATACTGGTAATCTACCGCTATACTGGTAATCGACTGCTATACTGGTAATCTACTGTTATACTGGTAATCTACTGCTAATAATACATTGTCAGCCCTCACAAATTTTTCCTCTCTCATTTCTCTTATTTACCTCCAATCATTCATCACTCATTGTTTTTTTTACTACTGCCGATGAAAGTATAACTTTTTCCTCTTTAATTGTGTTGAAACTTGCTAAAAACTGATTAACTATTATGAATAAACTCATTTTGTTTCCAATGTGCATCCGTCATTTTAATTCAATTGTCAAGACAAAAAATTGTTGCCCGCCCATGATGACTTACAGGCACTACCTATGTCCTATACCTGTAGCAATAGTTTGGAGCTGACCAAACAGTGAGGACTGTCTCATTAAAATGCCACTTGTATCCTTCCATTACCAACTGATGAGCTCGACAGATCAAGTCAATGTCATTTGCCGCATTAAACTAAACAAAGAGAAGTTGATCAGATGAATAATAAAAAACATTGACAGAGCAATTAACTACTGGTACAAATCTCAGAAGATTAACCTGTAATGTTTGAAAGTAAACAGTGAGCTTAGAAATTCAGGGAAAGTTGAAAGATTTGATTTTATTACTATCCGTGATGATGCCCTCGACTGGCAAAAGCTGAAATTTTCAAACTTTAATTTTAACTGTAGCTTAAGGCCTCACTTAAATTCAAAGCTATCTTTTAAAATTCTACTGGAGGAACACCTGAAAAGATATTTGGTTATGTCTCTCTTACAGACAAAAGCTATTCATACATGTGAAGTGCCTCTAAAACCACTTTATGTTTCACTTATAAAGTCAGCACAACTCACACATGTTAAAGGTATATAAGGTTGGAAATTCACCATAACATAAGCATCACTTATTACAGTAACTGAGGCATTTAAGAAGTAAAAGGAAGGAAAACACAAATAGAACTACACTTAGGGCTAATGTACCTGAGTAACAACATCACTACCGAACAGATATCCAGCACCTCTAGGACTTACTCCCCAACCCTGTGTATCTGATGAAAGAAAGAAAAGCAACTTAAGTAAAAAAGATGAAAATAATAACTGAAGGAATGGCTGCGTGGAATGAAGCCCTGAGGCCCATCAGCTCATCAGTTTGTTTACTGTCTGTTATGTCACCCTTGTTTAATAAAGTCTAGTTACTAACTAACTTACTTTGGATAAAACATCCACTTCTCCTTCTGTTTTACAAAGGAACACAAAGCAATTTGGGAGGAGAATTTAGGAGCCTATCAGAAGTCACCTTAGGTTTTATTCCATGTACATGTGCCACTTCACTTATAATGACGATAACTATGCTTTTTTCAAGTATTCAAAGTTATTATTTATTGTTCAGTAGGCTGTATACATTCAAAATAAAACAAAAAAAAATTTCAGAAAGAGCAAGGTATACACTGCCAATACTGTGTAAAATGGTATCCAAAGGAAAAGATTAGAATGAATACCTTCTGGGTCTGACCAAAGTAAATCACACATGGGACCATCATGAGGAACTTCCTGCTTGCGGTCAATCGCCCTTATCTGGTGAAAAACTCAATGTCACTTTTCTGCAGTAAGGAAAATTTCTATAAAAAAAAAAACTAGAGTATGTAGATAATACTGATTTCATTATTACCTGATCTAAGGTAGTAATGGATGGAGAAAGACCACCATGAACACAAAAAATCTGAAAAAAATTAAAAGATGATTTCCATAAGATCATAGGAAAATACAATAAGTAGGTAAGGAACCTTACAAATTGTTTGACTATGTAAATGTAGATCAATAAAAACAGGGGAAAGTCCATAAGTGGCACTAAAATAAGAGACAATCTAACAAATGAACAAAAAGTTAATTTTAAACTATTTTAATAAGCTATAAAGAAGCACATGCACTATGGCTAGTAAAGAACGCACTCACCCTATCATCAATGATTGCCGACAAACTAAGATAGTCAAATATTTCTGTGCAATATCTCCAAACTGTTATTGAACCATATTTCTTTAAGCATTCATCATAGAACCCATAAACCTAAAGATACAATAAATTTGATGAAAGACAATGCATTTCACTGATTAATTGTTTGTTATTAAGCAAAAGCACTAAATTAGATTCACTGACAAATCTGAAAAAATTATAGTTGAAAGTTCATCATATGGTTTGATGATAATATCAATATTCAATGACAACAAACCTGTGTTATCTGCCTACTCTCATGGTTTCCTCTAATTAATGTTATTCTGTCGGGATATCGTACCTTCAAGAAGGAGAAACGTAGTCAATACTCTGTAAACTGTGATGTAATGACATCCTCTCTAAGAAACCAAATGAGATAATTGTTTTGAAATTTAAGCATTATTACTCACCTTTAAAGCTAAAAGTAATAGAAATGTTTCTACACTGTAAAATCCTCTGTCCACAAAGTCTCCCATAAAGAGGTAATTTGTGTCTGGCACATCACCTCCAACCTGTGACAAGAGACTCAGGTGTCACTTGTAATCTGCACATTTTCTACAAACTTTACTGACATAGTTAACATTGTATTTTTTGGCCAACTCCTTCAAAGCATCACACCACAGCCATAAAATGTTATATCTTGTAGCACTCACATGAACACTGCCTGTACCTACATGTAACCCAGGTCTAAAAAGATTACAAAAGAACCGTGGGAATCCAACTCCCACCATCCATTACTGCTGTGGTTCTTAGACTAACATTCTTCAGTAAAATTATGAGTTTTAGTGACTTTACAACTGAATGGTTCATTAAATAAATGAAAAAAGATAGTAATAACAAAACGATGGCTTAAACGAAACAAAACAAAAGAAAAGAAAATTCAGGGAGATGTTAAAGTACCTCAGAGAAGGGAGGAATCTTCTTTATCAAAAATGATACATAATAGTTATAATAATAACAATCAAATAATAATGAAGATGACTTACAATTACACATTGCAAAGTCACTGCAGACAAACCTAGCTTTGATCATGCAGTTTAATGTGTTGAAAAAAATTAGAAAAAAAATCAGGGTTTTCCTGACCCTGCTGATGTTGAGTAATACCTTCATAGCTTTGATTAGCAAAACATCACAGTCATGCAATCAAAATTAAAAGGGTACCTTAAAGAGTTCCTTTAAGTCGTAAAATTGTCCATGAATGTCACCACATACCTGGCAAAAATACAAAACAAATGTTCTCAGCTGTGAATTCACTGCAGTAGTACTGGTGAAAATGTATGCATTATATTTATTGTGATTATTCAGTGATTCAGAACCAGGTTAACAAGAAACTCAACAAAGCCACATAACAGTAAGGTTAATATAAACAACTTTCCACAGACACTGGAAGTTGGTGAAAGGGTGTTATAATCAATTAAAACATGTAAATTGTGATAAACTTTGAGAAGACCATTATTATCCTTCATAACTGAACAACAACAAGCACTTACAGTCACTGGGGAATCCACCCTTTGGACATTTGATTCTTCTACAAGGATTTCCCTGTGATTGAAGTAAAAATTATTTGAGCCACACATGTACTTTCTAGGTAACCCAGTTCCTCTTTTTGTGTTGGAGATTGGTTTATTTTAAGATAAAAAAGAAAAAAATTATAAAAAGACATTTCACTTTCTAAGTTTAATTATAATAAACTTAATAACTAGCAAAATAAAACCGCCTACAGATGAAAGTAGGGGCAATAGACAGGTAGCTACCACAAGTTTCTGTAGTTGGCTGTTCAAGAAACTATTCAGTGAGTATTTGCTCACATAAGATGCTACCATCAATTCAGGAACAATAAATACAGCCTATAGCCTATTGTTTTGAGCAGTTTCAAACTTCTTGATATTACATGTTAAGTGTTTCTGAGGAGCTGAAAGTGAACATCAATATTCTAGCCCGGAGAGGGGTGGTCTTGTCTAGGACTCCCTCCTTCAACTCCTTTCCTCCCAAGATCTAATCATTAATTCTCAACACAGTCTACAATACGTTTCTTTCGATTCTAGATCTGAGAATTTGATGTGTGATCAAAGGAAACCAGCTCATCCATATTTTTCTTTCCTTCTTAGCACCTCTCTGCTTGATGTTAAACCTTTAAATCCCATTAGTGTTTAATATGAAACTTCTCCCTAAGATATCTAGACATTATGCGCCAAACTTGTAATGAGAATACTCAAACATATCAAGTATTACCCTGATCTAACACCAACTTCTTATTCCTTATTTGCAAGAAAATGTGCAGCAGTAAGAGGGGAGAATTGACAATTAGATATTGAGAGTTAAAGGGTATTAACTGGATATTGTCTGCAGAAATTCATCCTTACTCTCTCCTGGCCAAGAGAGTTAATTTGTAAGGGCATAGAAACTTTCTGGAATCACATATAGACTAGTTTGATCGGCTGTTTCCGTGTATCACTCCCGTGGATCTCGTCTGAATTCTCTCCTTAATGAGGGCAAAAGGTTACAGGATGTAGGTCTGGAAACAAGTTCCAACATATAATCTGACCACTAGAAAAGTTACAAAGACTTTATTCCAAATTCAGGAAAAAATTCACCACTTATTTTCCTTTCCACTGCAAGCTGTTGCTACCACAAAGTTAGAAAGAAAATGAAATCACTGCAGCTTGTAGTTACACAAACCTCGCTTTAGCACACAACTGCTTTACTTCTTTCTCCGTGATAAGTTCGCATCGCCTCAACTTGTCAATTTGTCTGCAACAGAAATACGGTCCAAGAATGTTATCTTAATTGAGAAGCACTTCAAAACTTCCAGTGTAACGCGATGTGAGAGATCAAAGCGCTCTCGAAGACAGTACAATCCTGAAAATTACCGAAATACCTTATGAATATCGTGTAAACAAAATGTCGTTCACAAACGAAAGCTCACCTGTCTAGATCGCTGCAATCTGTCATTTTTTTTATTTCACCTCTTTGTATAAGGTTCGTCGAATAACCTGACTGTGTTCTGGTTTCAGTCTGCTTAATTTGAAAAAGACTTCTCGTTGTCTTCGCCGATCCGGACAATTTCCTTGGTATCTTAAGAGTCTTGTGATCAACACGCTGAAATAAGGAACTATTGGAATTTTGATCGACAGAAGCAAGACGTTGATTACACTGAAAACTGCTTAAGTTTTCTCCGTTTCACTTGGAATTGGTTCACCGATATGCAACGAAAAAAAGCTGTCGACTTCGTGTTACGTATGGTAAAGCTTCATGGCCGTCATGTCATTCTAGGCTGCCGCGCGATCTGTAAGTCACGTGGTTATTACGAAACGCGCCATCTGTAGTGACGCTTTTGTTGGCGCGAAAACGGCATCAGAACCACCCATTCGTCCCAGTCAAACTTGTTTTTAACTGAATGAAAATCAGAAACAGAGAACTGAAACACGAAATTTTCTCTAGGCAGTGGCGGATCCAGGAGGAGGGTCTGTGGGGTCCGGATCCCCCCCCCCAACAGACCTGCCGCTTACAACTTTGAAATTGAAATTCTTACATCGGCAGGATCGAATATCACTTTTTAACTAGCTGATCTTTTTAATGAATCCAAGTGAACGGTAAGCGACCAAGGAATTATAACGTGCAACTGCGACTGGTGGGAGGGGGTGTGTGTGCGGGGGGAGGGGTGTGGGGG